AAGAGTAACACGTTAAGAGATATTTTTCAGCTATATTAAGTTCATAGTGGGAACTTCAATTCTTATTAGTTAACCATTTCCGGAAGCTAGTTTTTCAGAATCTCTGGCCGGATAATTCCATTTTCTAAATGACAAATTCATATTAAACACTATTTGCTTACTGTGTTTCGTATGTAAATATATGCATGTTTGACATACTATGGGTAAGGTTTTTCTTGTTTTTAACTTAAGTACTTAAAATGAAACCTCTAAATTGTGAAATTGGTGCAATTTCATTATAATATGTTCAGTCAGGGCGACTTTGCACCAGTCTTGAAGAGGAGGCATAAACAACATGAGGAAAGAACCAAAGTTCTGAAACAGACACTGAATATCAGCTTATTCAAACAGCGTTGAAGGACTAAAATGTGTGTGCCAAGTTGCATCTCTAAACAGCTATACCTTAGAGGGGAAAACTCACAAATAGATATTAAGATTTTAGGTGCTACAAATACTACTGAAATGCAACTCAATATATACGCCTAAAATCCTCACATCATTGGAAAATAATTATTTGCAGGTTATGCTATAAGGATTTTTGATAAGCACAGATGAACAGAGACGTTACACCAATCCCAGAAAAGTGGTAAGGGAGAATGACAGTAAACTGTAACTTTTTTATAAAATGGAAACTATAACTGTGTATTTCAGTTTTTTTTGTTTTTTTTTGAGAATACCTGTTGAAAAACTTTGTATTCTATCTGATCTGTATTCTGGGTTGTTTTATAATTATGTGCCTTTTTGGTTGCTGCTACAAGGACTACAGTACTATTTTTGCGAAAGAAAATTGTTAAAATAAAATGTTAAACACGTTTAATTCAAATCTTCATGTATCATATGGTTGAATCATGCTACCAAATCTAGTTATATTTTGTTGAATGTTGTGCATTAGATGCCTATAGTCTGTGTTGTTTCCTTCAATTCGTAGTGACCGAATTTGTACTGACTTTCCAAGCTTCTCACCTGTGTACGTTCAGGTAAACCAGCTAAAGTTTTGTTTAGGCACTTTTGTGATTGTTGCTGCTGGTATCAGAAATAGTGACTCTGAAATAGTGACTCTGCTGTCTGTGCAGCATAAAGAAACCTTCACCCCAATGTGAATGAGTATTGCTATTCCGTTGACATTTATGAGTCTCTCTCCCTTAGGAGAGAGAGACTTTAAGAGCCTGTGAGAAGCCAACAATTTAAAAGAGCAAAAACATGAGGAAGAAAGCTAATTTCCATTTTACAGGTTGGAACTGAAGTGCAGAATAATTGGCTTTCTCAAGGCCCTCAAAGATTATGACAGCTGGAAATGAGAGCTGCTCTACTTTGTGAAATGTCTTTGTTTTTGATTATGCAAATCGAATTGTCAAAGACAAACTCAAGCCTTTAATGTATAAGTTGGGGACAAATGAGGTGCTTGGACCCTAACACAGCCTAGTAAATGGTTTTGGAGTTCAGGGTAAGCCTATGAAGGCAAACAAATCACTAATTAACAATCAAATATTAGGTTGCAAAATCTATGTTCACTGCTCACATTGTGTTTCAAATTGTCTGCAGACGGGGAGAATTTTTGTTGCTGCTATTGAGAGCTAGAAGCAAACTTTAGATGTGTGTGTGTGTGTTTGGTTTTTACTTTTTTTTAAATGAAGTGATGGCACCTGAATTGGCAGGAAGCAATGGCATTTTGGGGAGTTTCAAAGCCATGACTGAGTGGTTCTGAGCACACAAAAGTTCAAATAAGTCATTAAGAGACATTATCCACCAATTCGTTTAGCAAACTTATACCTAGCATTAAAACATTGGTAAAACTGCCTGTGTCTACTGATGCCGCGTATAGTGCTTAGAAAATCAGCGCTTAGATCACAGTGAAGTATAATGACTTATGGTTAATAGCAATTGAAGTATTTTCATAATGTGTGTTCTACTGATGGGCTGTATACACGGTCTCTGGTAGAAATTAAGAAGCTCAGGCAATCTAGCTGGTGGGGAGAGATATTCCATGTCAGCTTAAAGATGTCTGGCCCTCTTCATTTTGGCTCTTTTGAGAAATGTCTCTGTTTGACATGGCAAGCAGATGAAGGGAATGATGGCTGTGGGGAAGAAGGGTTGGCTGGGGTTAGAGAGACAGCAGGTGATTCTGTTTAAACTTTTGACATTAGGAAGTCAGACTGGAAGCCTGTTAGAGTGCTTAGAATCTCAATGCTCTCTCTAGGCTGATAAATGTATGAATAAGCCTGTTTCAGTTGCTTTGTGGTTATGTTTGGGTGAAGCCAGACTTCTTCTCGCATTCCATCAGATGTGGGAGCGAGGCTGGATCTTGGTAAATAAATGGAAAGCTATTCAGCAAGATGCTGTGAGGTGGATCAAACCGATAAGAGCCTGATCTTGAACTTCAAAGTTTCTATTTAAAATAAAAGTCCAGATTCTTGATTTGAATTAACTAATCTATGTATTTTACCCCTGCCAAGGACTGGGATCAAAGTTTCAGCTAAGTGGGAGCATCAGGATGGTAAATAGTGATCAACAATAAATGTTATTAATTTTTTACTAAAGATTAGTATTTATTACTTGAGAAGCAATACATTCTAACTGTGAAGTGGCTGTCTGTTGAAATTGTCCTAATAAACATAGTAGTTTGCAATACATAAGGAACTGGAATAGACTGGAAATAATGTATACTTTGAAGATATTTTTGCGTGAAGAAACATGTCTGCATTGGTGTGTGTGTGTGTATATATATTTTTTAGGTAGAGGACATATTTTCCTTGAACATTTAAAAATAATTGATTGTCATTTGTGTAGGCTCATTGTTTTTTTAGGAAAACCTACAAAATGCCTTTTCTGTTTATTATAGACATCACTTTTTTTGGATAGGAGGTGAAATGCATAAGGAAAGTATTAAGAACCAAGTGGAGGTAAGGCTGAATAACTTTGATTTTTTCACTTTTGAAATACGATCCTGGTCACTGCACAGAATGGTGTACTGTCTCCTTTCTGTCATTCCATCTGGACTTTATTATTTTAAACAGGGCTGTGGAGTGTTGGCATTCACTGATCTATGAAGCTGCTACCGCAAAAGTATCTTGCATCTTAAGATGACTCAAGAACTATACATGAGCTGTAAATGCTGCTTAAATAGAGGAAATATTTAGAACTAACACAAAGCCTTTGTGCATTTAACTTTTTCAGTGTCTCAATAAAAGGAAGTGTCTGGAGAACGTTTCTTGTTGTGTTTTCACGTTCTTTGGCAGTTTTCATGCTAATAAGATAACGAACTTCATCTGTCTTGCTATTGATGGACTGTTCAGACATTAGTTTCCTGTCCTGTGAGTGCTCAATCATTCCAAAATATGCATAATAAAAGTCACATACACTAATAAATCAGCCAAGCTACAGACTGGCAGAAGCTGGAAGCATCTACTAGGGAAGAACGGCTCTGTACATGACCAATTTCTGATACTTAGGTAGTGGATACTTAAGGAAAACTGCTGCTGGAAACTGGACACTGGGCCAGATACGCTTTTGCGGTGACTTAGAATGGAATTTCTGATGTTTCAGTAAGCCCTTAATTCCAGATGAAATATGCCGTAGACTTGAAAGACCTTTACAGAAGAAAATAATGCAATTTTCCCTGTCATGTTGTCTAGATAATATTTCTCTATTTACCCTTGATAGTAAAGGTGTTATCACCTGGCTTTGAATATGCTTGGGATAACTGAGCTGCATTTTCCAGCAGGGGATACAGTGCTGGTAAAAGCCAGTAAGTGTTGGATTCAGAGGAGGAACAAAAGTAGAATTGGAAAGATAATTTAGCAAGTGGATTACACATTTGATGCAGAACCAAAACGAGAACATGTATAGCTGCAGAGACTTAAGATATGGGAAGACAGGAGACTTAAGGTATGTAAACTAAATTCTTCAAGAGATATATAATAAGATCTAGGTGGAACCCCTATTTTTACCTGTTGGACTACAAACTCTTAAGCCTATTTTCTCTTTATACGTTTGTATACCTGATACTGGCCAGGACTCTGGTTCCAGTGCAACATAACTGCTGTTTCTATTACATGAATAGTTTGGAGGCAACTGGAATGCTGAAGAACGCTCATTACAGCGTTACTGATCTCTAAATATAGTATGACACCTCTTACCTTGGTATATGGCCTTTAATTTTTGAACGTGGGAGTATTTGTTAAAAACAAACAAACAAAAAAAGAAGTGATGATAACAAAATTACTGCTTATGACTGTTCAAACAGGAAATCTTAGTTTTGAGAGAGAATGCCTGATCAAATAGGTCAAATTTTGATCCGCCTTTGAATTTCCACAGTCAAGCTACACATAAAGAATTGTTAGCAAAAGGTAATCGACATCTTTTGAATAGTAACAAATTTCCTGAGTTTTTCATGGGTGTAAAAACTCTTCATGGAAGAAGTTAAGCTAATAGACATAATCGTACGCAAATTGTTTTGCTGAGATGTACTGATTTTTCAAACTTTTTTTGTTTAGCAAATTTTGAATACTTTCTACTACTTAAATTGCTATCTTGAGGATACCAACTTTAAAATGTTTAAGAATTTGCAGGCATCAGAACTCTTACCAAAAAAAAAAAAAGTTACTATCATGTTCTTCAAATCTTTCATCATTTCATGCATCTTTCTTTTTGAATCTTCTGCCTGCTGTCTTATTTTGGATTGGGTAGCCACCGAAAAAAAAATGCCTTGCTTACATAGTTAATTAAGCAGCAACAAGTGTTTGATATACAATAGACCTTGTTTTCAGTGATTATGTCCACATCTTGTAAGTGTGAAGGCATATTTTTGTCTACCTGGTGTGAGGCAAAGTATGTGCAGCAAGTGGGATTAGATTAGGGTGATATGATGGTCTCTACAAATGAGTAAGTTGTATGAGGTGATCAGTCCAGTGAAAATGGTATAACTTGGTATCAGTCTTTGTTCA